GTAATCCCGTCGTCTGAGGAGCGACCATTGTCGGTGTATCGTGAGACAGTAGAAACGGTCCATCGCACTTCAACTTAAGTGTAAGAAACGGGCTCTGAGTGAACATATAAGCGAGTGAAGGTTATTAAGTCGAGTGAACTTCAAGATACTACGATCTGTTGAGCTTAGGAGGGCTAAGGCAATTGTTATATTCAAGAGAAAATGAGAAAATAGCCACTTAAAGGAAAATGTTGGTTTGTGAACTGTTTTTGCATGAAATAAAAGACACAAAAATATTATATATATATATATTCTTTTAGACAAAGACCATTAAACGTAATAGCACTTTCACATTTCGAAAGCTTTGTTTGTGTTTTTATGATCTTATTGACTATTTTCTTGCTGTTTTCGTCAATACGATGTATCAGATCGGCAAAGTTCATGTAAAAATATTCGTTAAAGTTCGACGCGTTTCGAATGTATTATACATTCATTTTCAAGTACACTGTGAGACACTCGTTCAAATAATGCGTACATGGACACGTTTGAAAAACAATAGGTCACGAGTAAAATCATAAATAACACTTTTAGTTTCAGCGCCCTACTACAACAGTAAATATGATCACGTCACACATAGCGCTAGTCGGGTTGGGTTGCTTGTGTTGGTGTTGTTCTGCGTGTTTGTGGGTGTGATGTGTGCTGCATTGTACCCCAGAGAGCCAGTTTTTCTAGGCGTGCGTTTTTCTGTTCATTGATGCTTGGTGTGTGGTCTCTGATGTGTATGGCCTCTGTGATCTCTACGCGTCTGGGGTCACGGTTGGAGTGGATGATCGACGTGTTTTCTACCAGGTGTTCTCTTGTCAGTCTAATCTTGTGTTTCTTCAGCATGTGTGTCTTGATTGCTCCCTCCTGTTTGTGCATGGTCAGACGACGAGACAAAGTGGTGCATGTGTATCCAACGTAGCTGATGTTCTGAAGCCTGCAATCTTCAGAGGGACAGTCAAATTGGTACACTACGTTGGTACACATGAGCCGCTTAGTCTCAATCGGGTTGTTTTTCATGACCAGATGTTTCGTCTTTGTGCTCTGATAGTAAATGTGGAACACGAGTTTGTCAGACTTGTCCTTGCATTCTACGTTTTTCGTAATGATGTGTTTAAGTATCCGCTTAGATTTATTGCCGAAGTATATATATGTGTATATATATATATATATATATATATATATATATATATATATATATATATATATATATATATATATATATATATATATATGTGTCGCCGACGCAACGAAAGGCGACAGCGATTGGAGCGCACGAGGAACGTTAATATTTTATTTATGATTTTACTGAACGTTCCGACGGGTTTCGACGAAAAATACAGTTTTTTGAGTGCATTACGACGATTCGTTTCCCTTCGCTTTTCGTATTCGTAATATGGGAATTTTTCGCATTTAACGTAATGTATTCATTAACTCAACATTCGTGATTGTTGTAACGACAACAATTAATGGTCCTCCGGGCCGGATACGTTACTCGGCTCATCGTAACGTCTGAGCATCGTAAAGCGTTCCATGCAGGGACGGAGCACACTCTGAATGAGCTAAGGCAGTTCTACTGGATTCCGAAGGCGAGGTCAGCTGTCAAATCATACCTACATTCCTGTGCGGTCTGTAAGAGACGGCGAGCCAAACCCCAGCCTCCGCTCATGGCCGATTTGCCGGAGGCAAGATTCGACAGCAGGCACGCCTTCAGCTCCATCGGGCTGGATTTCTTCGGGCCTGTCCACGTGAGAGTGCGTCGAAGTTCTGAGCGAAGGTTTATCCTTCTCGTGACCTGCCTGTCTACACGGGCGGTACATCTAGAGGTGACATCCTCTCTCGACACGGATAGCTTTCTGATGGCTCTCCGACGATTCATGGCTCGCCGTGGTCGTCCTTCCCAGATCCACTGCGACAACTGGAAGAGCTTCAAGAGGGGTGAACGGGAGCTTCGTGAATCACTGCAGAAGTGGAACGAGATGCAGATCAGCGACTCCCTGACCCAGCAGAACATCAGGTGGCGCTACAACCCACCTGGCGGACCGCACATGGGCGGCTGCTGGGAGCGACTGGTGGCCTCGGCAAAAAGGGCCCTGCGGGTTGTCATCGGCGAACGGCTTGTGACGGATGAGGTGCTGGCTACGGTTCTGGCCGAAGTGGAGCACATGCTGAACAACCGTCCACTGACCTACGTCAGTTCAACCGCTGGAGACCCGCAGGCTTTGACGCCAAATCACCTTCTCCTCGGTCGAGAGTTCCCTAACCTGCCTCCAGGGGCGTTCTCAGAAGAGGACCTGACAACCAGGCGACGCTGGAGACATGCTCAGCAGATAGCCGAGCATTTCTGGAGACGCTGGTCCAAGGAGTATGTCCCGACACTGATGAAGAGGGAAAAGTGGACGAGAAACACCCGGCAGCTCCAGGTGGACGATGTAGTTATCGTGGCTGACAACAACGCCCCTCGCGGTCGGTGGCCGATTGCTCGGGTGACGAAGGTTTACCCCGGCTCTGACGGGCGAGTGCGGTCAGTGGAGCTGAAGACGCGAACTGGCACGTACGTCAGACCGGTGGTAAAGATATGCCCTCTGGAGAAGGCAGCCTAATGCACAAGCATGATACCACATTCGCTGAAGGTGGCAGATATCGACGAATATCGATTGGATTGGACGGAATGTGTGTGTTTCCCCTATGTGTAATGACCTATATTGGTCATGGGGTGTTTTACAGCCGCGCGTGCTCGTCTCGAGGGGGGAGGATGTCGCCGATTTGATGGCTCCCCGAGAATGACGGCGCGTGATGATGTAAATTAAATGTGACCTCGATAACGATGTAAAATGTTTTTTGAATTCGATTCGTAACGGCTCAGTGAAACAATACATTTTGTTTTGATCGGCTAGATTCGATAATTTATAGTTCGTTATTTTATTCGTAAATAATCGAAACAATTCGCTTGATCTTTCGCAGATGTCGATTCGCGACATTAGTGGTATTAGTCGAGCGAGCCTTCGGAAGCCAGAACTTCTGCCGGAGCTCGTTCATCGTGTGCTCGACTCCTGCATGAATGACCTTGCGATGGTACGAAAATGGCGTTCTGCGTGTCGGTGGGAGACTATCAAAGAGTGATCTGCCGCCATCGACCAAGCATCCCATCATTCTACCGAGGCTACATGACGTCACACGCCTCATCGCCATTTCGTACCATCGCAAGGTCATTCATGCAGGAGTCGAGCACACGATGAACGAGCTCCGGCAGAAGTTCTGGCTTCCGAAGGCTCGCTCGACGCTGAGATCTCTGATCCTCTCCTGCTCCGTTTGCAAGAGGCGACGCGCGCGACCTCAGGCCCCCCTCATGGCTGGCTTGCCAAGTGCAAGATTCGACTGCAAGCATGCCTTCAGCTCTGTTGGCCTCGACTTCTGTGGACCGGTGTACGTGAGGAGTCGCCGCAGTCGTCAAAAACGATATATCCTGCTAGTGACGTGTCTGGCTTCAAGGGCAGTCCATCTAGAGATGACGTCATCACTGGACACGGACAGCCTTTTACTCGCTTTCCGCCGATTCATCGCCCGGCGAGGTAGGCCTACTCACGTCTTCTCCGATAACGGCAAGAATCTGCTGAGGGGCGAAAGAGAAATTCGTGAGGCCCTGCAGAAGTGGAACAAAGCACACATCCATGATGCCTTGGCCCAACAGGATATCACGTGGCACTTCAACCCGCCTGCAGCGCCGCACATGGGCGGATCCTGGGAGTCTCTCATCTCTTCGGTCAAGAGAGCTCTGAAGGTCGTGGTGGGAAACAGCCTGGTGACTGAAGAGGTGCTGCACACAGTCCTCACCGAGGTAGAGCACATCCTCAACAGTCGGCCTATCACCCACGTGAGCTCGGACGCCGGCGACGCCGAAGCTCTGACTCCAAACCACATCCTTTTGGGACGCAACTGCCCAAGTCTGCCTCCTGGAGTGTTTTCTGACAAAGACCTCTCCATGAAAAGACGTTGGCGTCACTCGCAACAGATTGCAGACCATTTCTGGCGCAGATGGACCAGAGAATATCTGCCCACACTGATCGGTAGACAGAAGTGGACGAAGGATACCAAAAACGTTCAGATCGGTGACGTGGTGCTAGTTGCTGAGAGTAATGTACCTCGTGGCCGCTGGCCCCTGGCTCGGGTAGTCAAAGTGTTCCCGGGATCAGATGGACGAGTGAGGTCAGTCGAACTAAACACGCCGAGTGGCACATATGTCCGACCTGTCGTCCGGTTGTGTGTTCTCGAGGAGTCGGAGTGAGCACGCACGTGACGCAGGGCGTGAGGAATATCGGTGTTGTACATAGGATCCTGAGATCGTCTCTGAGGCGCGCGAGTATATCGTTAGACTGTGCGCTTGTTAATGGACAGACGGCCTCCAAAAGGTACTGGAGGTAAATGTGTCGTGTGTTACCTGACTATATCGGGTATTCGGTTCGATTTCTGGGGGGGGGGGAGTGTGTCGCCGACGCAACGAAAGGCGACAGCGATTGGAGCGCACGAGGAACGTTAATATTTTATTTATGATTTTACTGAACGTTCCGACGGGTTTCGACGAAAAATACAGTTTTTTGAGTGCATTACGACGATTCGTTTCCCTTCGCTTTTCGTATTCGTAATATGGGAATTTTTCGCATTTAACGTAATGTATTCATTAACTCAACATTCGTGATTGTTGTAACGACAACAATATATATATATATATATATATATATATATATATATATATATATATATATATATATATATATATATATATATATATATATATATATATATATATATATATATATATATATATATATATATATATATATATATATATATATATATATATATATATATATATATATATATATATATATATATATATATGCGCATTGATAACACCATTTTCGACACCGGCATTTAACGTCTGAATGGACGCAGCGATCACACAGTGACAGTTTACGTACCGAGAGATGATCAGACTCCCTTTCTTCACGGTAAAGGTTCTCTCGTCAGAGAAAACGACGCGCCGCCATTGCTCCGGCTGGTGCTGTAGCAGGACACTGGCCAGCAGCACGCGCGGCGTTTCCGTCCGTGCGATGCAGCTGGGGCGTGTGGAAGTCGATGGTGCTCCAAATACGCCCCCATCAAGCATACGTCTGTAATAGGACATGAGAAACCTTAGCTTACAGCAGAAGTCGCACACAGACATACAGTATGGCAGTTATTGCGCATCCAATAGCAGATAGTCTCGCCTAGCCTCACGAACTTGCAATACCTCAAATTCCGAAAACCGTCATTAGTAGGTATAGAACACTTAACACTATAAAACGCATCAGAACAATATAAATGGTAAAAACAGTGCTGCATTGGTGTGAATTGGCTTGGCTAGGTACTCATATGTAATAAAGAACAACTGCATTGTGCTCATCAAACAGAAGACAGAAAAAGCATCATGTGACAATCAAGAAGCACTTAAAGGGACCCTCCCACCTTCAAAAAAGTTTATGAATTGGCATAAAAGTGATGTCGCTCGGTTCAGAAAGAGCGAAAACGAATATCTACCAAATTTCACCGAAAAATATTCACCGGTTTTCAAGATATTAGACTTTTACTTTTGTTTACTTTTTTGGGATCTCCACTGTTTCTAGCGACTTTATTTTAGAAGTGCGGCGTTTGCGGCAGATGTTGCGCGCAAATAGCATATACCATCGCGTGCTACAAAACGTTTTAGTCAAACATTTAAAAATCGTTAGATATTTGCGCTGACGTCACACATTCAGAGGGGTATTCCTAAGCATTAGCCCCTCTGAATCAAAATGCTGCAATTTTGAAATTCAATATTTCCGAGGTAAGGCATTTCTCGATGTTGTGAGTGCCGAAACCGGTAATTGTGAGCCAGGGACCCCATTTTGGCTATCTCAACTCAAATCTAATGTTAAGGTGGGAGGGTCCCTTTAACATTTTCTAAACTTCAGTCGGAAAGGCTAAAAGAAACGTGTCAACCTCACATAAACTTTCTTTCTGATGATCGAAATAACCCTCGCCGGCACAGGCCATTTTGAGTCCTTCGACGGCACAAGCGGGGGGGGGGGGGGGGTACGACCCCCCCTCGGGTTTGGTCCCTGATCGAGCTAGCTAGAGCTTTGCAGAAAAAAAACGAGCGTGTTGCCCGTCACGAGAGGAAACCGATTCTACCCAATTTTAAGATCCTAGGTCATCGGTTGACCTTCCAGGTCAGGTCAATGACCCAAAAGTCGTGAAAATCGGGACCTATTACTTGTTAGAAAGTCGTAACGGGGTTTTCGGGGTGCTGATCACGAATATCGTGTTAGTTTTGATCACAGATGATGTCTTTAAGCATTTAGACCAGATCGGGTTAGGTAAGGTCAGGTCAACCGGTAGGGGTCGTGAAGAAGGGTATTCGTAGTACGTGTCAACCGCCTCTGACAGCTTCGTAACATGTTCCGAAGGCACCAAAACTAGGGTAAGGGCGGGTAAGACCCAAGAGGACGCGGGCGATAAGAGTACGCATCAGCGGTTTCGGTTGCCTAGCAACGCGGGTTTGTCGAGTTCATGAAGCGACATGAAGCCGCCAGTGCGAGTTTGTCACCAACGGAACGTGGGCGTTGTGCGGCCACGCTGCTGAGTTTAACCCTCGCCGGCACAGGGGGGGGGAGGTTTTTCGCGAAAAAGTCGCGTAAAAAGCGGCCGATCGCGACGAAACTTTCAGTACCCTCGCATTCATCAATTTTACACCTACCCTAAAAATTTCATGACCCTGACCCCAATGACCTTTGACCTGTGACCTCTTTTCTGTGACCATGTTTGGCCGAAATCGCGGTTCCGCGCATGTCGGCTCGCATTAGCCGCGCGTTTGCAAGCTTTTCGTGGTTTCAAACGTTCAAACATGTGATTTGATGTTGCTCCCATGCATTAGGGTGGGTGTCAAGGTCACCTGAAGGTCAGGTCAGGTCATTGACCTTTGGTGACCTCGGGTGACCTCGGTTCACTTTTTCGAGTTTTACATGTTTCTAGGCTAGTTTTTGGAGCTGAATTCAAATATAGCAACCATTTGAACATTCACGAAGTAGTTTTGGTGCCTTCGTAACATGTTACGAAGCTGTCCGAGGCGGTTGACATGTATTACGAATACCCGTCACAACCCCTACCGGTTGACCTGATCTGACCTGACCCGAACTGGTCTAAATGCTTAAAGACATCATCTCTGATCAAAACTAACACGATATTCGTGATCAGCACCCCGGAAAACCACATCGCAGCCACACTTTACGACTTTCTAACAGGTCCCGATTTTCCCGGTTTTCGGGTCATTGACCTGACCTGGAAGGTCACCCGATGACCTAGGACCTTAAAATTGGGTATCATCGGCTTCCTCTCGTGACGGGCAGCACGCTCGTTTTTTCCGCGAAGCTCTAGCTCGATCAGGGGCCAAACGCGAGAGGGGGGGGGGGGGTCGTACCAACCCCCCCTTGTGCCGTCGAAGGACTCAAAATGGCCTGTGCCGGCGAGGGTTAAGACGATGAAGTGTGAAACTTGTGAGTTTCTCTCGGAGCCACTGTGCAGTGCAATATTCTGTTCGTGAAGTTTTGCACAATGTTTCGGGGTTGTTTTGTGTGCGAATTACATGTACGGTAAGGACGCATTGTTCATGAGGGTAAGAGTGCGCAAAATTATGCAGCATATCGAATAGGATACATAACATTTTCAATATATCGCTCGATGACTTTAGTCTTGTAGGCATCTTATCAATGAAACACTGTGAGGCAGATGTGTACCTACCCGAAAATCTAATTACATGTCTTCTGAGTTCGGTGTTAGCATTTGGACTAGAGGTGACAAAAGATGAAAACTTTGGGAACCAGACTCGAACCAGACCCGGCAGGACATTTCTGGAACCAGTCGGACCCGGCCTTAGTTGGAATCGGAACCAGTTGGACCCGGTTCTACAAAGTCGATTAATACAAACTACTTGTAGGTATCATTAGTTGCATCATGCAAAGCATCTTATTTCCCACTGGGAATACTCATGAGCTACTGTGTGCCAGGAAACATTCACTTCATTCACTTCATATTTTGCAATAATGTGTAGTGTGCAAGATGTACAGTTTATGGTAGGACCCGGTGGGACTCGTCAGAAAATTTCCAGGAATCGGTCTGGACCCATATGGGTCCAGACTGGTTCTTTGGACCGGGTCCTCGGGCCCACATTTTGCCACCTCTAATTTGGACGGTACAAGCTGCATAGATGTGTGTTCATATCAGTGTTCTAAAATTGGATTTTGGTTGGGTGTGGCGATGAAGAAAGAAATTTCCTAGGATGAGAAAAAAGAAGTAAATACCAATAGTAGGCATATGGCAGAAGGGCGTAACGCCCTTTTACGCCATTTGATGAAGCAGGATTTCATGTCAGGGTTTTGACAGGATCTAAAAGAAAAGTATGTGGATGCATCGACTGCCAAGTGATATGTAACCTGGCTGTTTGAATACATGAAATATTTTCCAAAGATGACATAGTGTCACTTTATCTTATTTTTGGGATGAAAATATTATCTCCATTAGGTGTGATTTTCCACCCAAAATTCTGAAAAACGGCACACTGGTTCATATGCTTGCGTACTCCACCCGCATGGTGTGCGTACTCTTATACAAGATACACACCCCAAGTGGTAAGAGTGCCTACGCAACAGCAGCGGTTAAGAAAATTTAGATTTAGACGACATTCATTTAAGCTGAGGTATCGTTGCCTTGCCTCATAGGTTGATAGCTAATTCCATGAGCTTTAACCCGCGCGGGGCTGGGGTCTCCAGCCGAACGCGCGGGGCTGGGGGGGGGGGTAAATTTTACCCCCCCCCCTGTTATCTCCCGAACTAATGGTCCGATTTGGAAAATTCAAACGCCAATCGAAAGCTCTCATCACGAACTACTAAAAACATGTACTTAATTTAAAGTTTGAGGTCAAGGTCAAGGTCAGGTCTGTTGTGTTCGGGTATAGGGGGTGTGTACTTGGACCGCCTCTGCGGCCCCACCTCTGTGTGCCTGGGAGCGCCCCTGCCGGCGCTCAGCTGATCGTGCGCGCCAAGCGGCATGACTGGCGCGGGCGACTAGGCGTGGCGCTCGCCATACTTGTTTAGTTTTTGGAGGACTCTCTCGGCCCATTCGCACCGGCAGTATATAAATCGCGTTTCTCTTAAGCTCTCTCTCACTCGAACCGTGAATCACGAACATAACATGGCGCGGTCAGTAGATGGTTCCGTGCGTGCGCGCAGTGATCAGTGTATCAGTGTATCAGTGATTAGTGTATAGCGCGCCGTGATCTGTGACGACGAGTGACATTGAGAAACTGACGCAGCTGCTCCTGCAGCAGGCGGAGCTGTCGGCGCAGCGGGAGCGAGACTCAGCGCAGCGCGAGGAGCGGCTCACTCAGATGGTGGAGAGACTGGTCGCCGACCGACAGCCACCCGCTACCGTCGCTGCCGACGATGCCTCGGCGGCGACAGCCGCCCGGACGTCGGCTGCCGCCCCGCCCGTGCGCCTGCCTGCTGCTGCAACGCCGGCGCCTCAGCTGTCGTCCTCCACATCCCTGCGCGACTTCGCTGTATGGAGGGAGAAGCTGGACGGGTACATGCTTCTGACCGGCGCGTCCGCGCTGCCCGTCTCTGCCCAGAGAGCTGCCCTTCTCAGTCTTCTCGACGAAGATTGGCACCGGGTGCTGCGCTATGGACTGACGATAGCGGACGACTCTCCCCTCTCCGCGGTGGTAGACGCAATGGAGAGTCATCTCCGTAAGCAGCGCAGTGTCCTGGTCGACCGCCGTGCGTTCTACGCCCGTGTCCAGGAGCAGGGCGAGAATTTTGAGGAGTTTCTGTGCGAAGTGAAGGAGCTCGCGGCATTTTGCGACTTTTGCACACACTGTTACGACTCACGCCTGCGTGACAAGATTGTGTGTGGCCTGCGGGACGAGGAGACGGTGAAGCGTCTGTTGGAGGATCCGGGGCTGGACCTCAAGAAGACGGTGGACATCTGCCGTGCGTCAGAGAACGCCCGGGCTACCTGCTCCGACCTCCGCTCACCGACGGCGTCAGTGAGCCGTCTGTCGGCATACCGCCGTTCAAGGTCGCGCGATGCGCGCCCCGCG